TCTGCACAGCCAAGTTTATCACCCACTTCCTGCTTGATGTCTTATCGATCACGCAAATGCTCATTTAAAACAAAAATAATGTTTGTTTTTTTTAATCGAATCTGCTAATTCAGTATAAGCAGATCGTGGCTGAGCTATTGCCCTTTGTAAAATCCTTATTTTTTTTTATTTAGATGGTGATCCAGTCTCTGGTTTATGGCATCATTCACAGAACTTTGGAAAGATGTATACTTTTATTTGCACTGCTGAGTCAAACAAGCACGACAGCAGTTCATTTACCGTGCAAAATCTTCTTCGACCAATAAAGTGACTCCATATAACGCCAGCTTTAGTAGAGTTTGCAGGAAGATTACATTTTTGTGCTTTGTTGCCGTTTTTTTTTAAAGTGGTGCATAATTGCTTAACGCAGCTTGATTATTGTCTGCTGTCTGTGTCAAACTATAGATCCAAACATATCTTCACATAGCTATCAGCGTCAGTATTTTGGCAGAATTTGCATTGTTATAAGAATCATTATGTGTCTGCAGCCGTTTGGACTTTTTAAACCCAGAACAGTAACGCAGAACCTTCAAGCCTGCAAACTGCAAGTACAAATGAAAGATTGATTGGGTTGTGAAGTGCTTGTCCCTCTCAGAAATAGCACAGTACTTCACTTCTAAATGAAGTCTAGATATTTCATAAGATTCTTTAGTTGCTGAGAAAGTGGTGTCTTTGAAGTGAGCGTGTCCCCTGGTAGTTGCTCCTCAGCTCTCCCAGAGCTGAGGAATATTTTAGCAGGACGTCTAAGATGTTCTCACTCGTGCTCCGTAGTTGGTGTGCTGAGGGGTCGTTCTGTGTCCAGTCCATCCCAGCCAAGCTGAAAAGAACTTTCCACTGGAGATGTCTCTATTTGGATGTACTTTAAATATATATATTTTTTTATTTTTACTCCAGATTTGAGCCTTTTTACAGTTAAACGTGTTAGCGCTATTCCCAATTTCAATTTCACATTTCCCTGGACTATTTAACTTCTCAGTCCAAAGAAAGCAATTACTGGGATTTTTTTTTTTTTTTTTTTTTTTGCATTTGAAGTTTTTATTTCACTATAATTAATATAACGTGCATTAGATTATGTAATGCTTCTAAATGTGGAACAGCCTTGAAGTGAATTTGGAAATTGTGTTTTTAAACTTGTGCATTAATTGAGTATTTAAACTTTTAGCTTCAAGTAAAGTCTACAAATGTTTTATGTATTTATTTATTTAAAGTCATTTTTTAGGGAGATGAATCAACTGGTTGGGGTCTTGTCCACGGTAATATGGGTGTTGCTTTGGTTTGTTGTGGTGAAGAAGGCATTAATCCAAAGGCTAAGTTCTCTGTTTACAGTGCAACCTGAGGTCCAACCTTTACCTCTGATCATTGATGCTGCTCTATTCATTCATGCTCATCTACTCACCACCGACTCATGTTCAGGCTGCTGTTTAATGTACCCAACTATTTTACATTATTAGTGTTTAGCATATATCTTAGATCTTTTAGCGTATTGTTTAACGTATATTTTAGTGCATATCTTAGATTCTTTTATACCGTTTCTTTTTATACTTTATATTTTTGCTATGTTTGGGTGGAACTGGTTCCTTGAGTGCACAATTTCATTCCACCTCATGTACCACATGTGATGCACATGACAACAAAGAACCTTGAACTTGAATTGAATATTTAATCTTTTGACTTTGAGTAAAGTCTACAAATGTTGTTTTTTTTTAAGTCGTGTATTTTTGAGGAAGATGAATCGACAGGCCGGGTCTTGTCCTAAAGTAATATGGGTGTTGCTTTGGTTTGTTGTGGTGAAGAAGGCAGTGATCCAAAGGCTAAGCTCTCTGTTTACAGTGCTACCTGAGTTCCAACCTTTACCTCTGATTATAGATGATCAAATGTCAGGGTACACTTCAGTACGGATCAAATGTGAAAGAATAAGGTCCCAAATACAAACAGTTTGAAGGACAAGTAGAGGTGGTGATAGCTGGGAGTCATTCCCAACACATAATCTGAACACTTACAGACCACGAAAGTCTCACATAGTCCTTCGACATGTACATAACAATGTTAATATTCGAGGTAAAATGCTTTAAAGCTATAATTTCTCAACTTAAGATGAGCTTTGTTAAAAAAAAAAAAAAAACTTGAACAGTGATATGAACTCCTTCAAGTAACACTTGGTCTTTATTTGTTTAATAGTTCTCTCTTTATATTTTTTGTTGCATTTGTTTAAGCTCAGAACATCAAAATATAGCATGTATATTTTATAAAAGTGTAAATAATTATAATTTTGAATTTAATTTAATTTAAAATTTGAATTTCCTTTTCCAACCTTGGGTTGGGTTAGTTGTCCGAAGTTTTGGGGCAGAGTTTTACTGCAAAGTAACCCATGTCCTTTCTGTAGTACTCCCTCTTAGTCACAAAGTAAAACCTGTCTTTCACCTCACAGGAAAAAAAAAAAAAAAAAGCTGCATAAATATTTATTTGATGTGAAGGTGTTGAGGAAACAAGTGCAGATTTCCAAACTGGTGAGATAAGAAGTGTTTAAATTTTCATGAATTCACCAGTAGTCTGGTTTTTGGCTCTGGCCCACACTCTAATTGGCATATTGCTGCTTTTTTTGTATCGAAGAAGTCCATGAAATATGCAGGAAAAACAAGTTGCCACTTGTCCCGGTATAACAATGTTGTGCCAATTTTCCCTTCCTCTTTTGTGAGAAAAAGACATCAGACACCTACTTTCCTTTTAAAACCCGTCTTCAGTTTTGCTTGGAATTTCACAAACAGTTTGTTTTGTCTCCCAAACAGAAAGTCTTACCCCTCGGGCAGGACTGCTTAAAAATCACTAGAATACATCGCCCTCTGCGCTTCATCTTCACAGCCTTTGGCATTAAAACACATAAACATGAACTAAGTGTACAAGTTTTGTTAGGAAACATTAAAGCATTTTAAAGTGCAAGTGACATCAATTTTTGTAATAAATATGAATGCATTTTTGAAAAGGTAACATTAATAACATGTTGCCAAAAATATATATCATGTCACTGAGATGAACAGTTGAGATATTTGCACGTGCAGTAACAGGAAGTGATGACAAAGGGGAGCAACTGCATGTAAACAAAGCATTGCTACAAACAGCATAAAATAATTTAATGTTCTTTAGGATATTCTGCGTCACTGTCGGAGAGAGTTCAAATATTGTTTCAATAAACAAAGACCAGGAAGCTCCCCTTTGACATCACTTCCTGTTTCTCTTTGGCCGCACCAAATTCAAAAGAAAATGTGCCTGTTATGCAACAAAATCATGCGCATTGTATCAAACTTCTTGAATGTTAAGATGTTTTCTTCCACTCGTTGTATTTGTAGGATATGCATACCACAGGCAGTTTAAAACACAAGTTGCTGGTTTTATCTTGTGTACCCTCACTGAAACCAGATCTGACTTTTTTAAGTGTTTCAACATTTAATGTTTTAGCAACAGAATTAATCACCGTGATGCATTCAAATATAAGTGAATGGGTTATTTGATTTTTTTTTATTGCACAAGTCATGATTACCTGGATGGTAATATTGGAGGCCGTTTTAGATTTTTACTTTGTCTGTTTTTGAATAAACTGGAGGAAAAAAAAATAATTAAATGCCTATTAGTTCTTGAAGGAATGCACAGCAGCCATGTTTTAAACTAAGATCATTATTTTATGAGACATTATTAGAGATTTAGCTGTCTCGGTTAAACTTTGTAATTGATGATGTTCGTCATGTAAGATATTGTAAAAAATGTTTGCACTCGGAGTATGTTTTGAGAATGACACTCGGCCACTACCACATCAAGCTTTAGCTCTATAGCTGTATATCTGACACATTTTTAGCATTTTTTGTGTTTCATAAAGTCATTTAGCTGTGGCAAACACCTTGATTTGTGTTGAGTCCTCTAGTTACTGTGATTTCCAATCTATAGAGTGCATCCGAGCAAAGCCGTGCACACTAAATTTAAAATAAAACACAATTTTGAATATAAATAAGCCTCGTTGGTGTATAAGCCGCGGGTGTCTACATTATAATATCAGAAACGATACGCAGTTCCTGATAAAATGTGCAGCTTTTGTTGTTAAACAAGGCTCAACCACCAGACGACGTTTCATAGCTGCGGTGGCTAAAGCGTGTGGGGGAAAAGTAGCTGCTTATACACCGGAAATTACGGTAATCAGTCGTAGATGTATATTCAGTGATGATCAGTTTTTGAGACTTTCGTTTAAATCACTCCAGTGGTTCTGGAGATATTTTGCTAACACAGCACACAAACAAACATGTGAGATCTCATGTAGTTTGTTTAATTCACAGAGACCAGCTAGGTTCTATAAATGTGTATTTACCTTGTTGTTAAAACCTGTTGGGCCGTGTAAATGTTTGGGTTCAGCACCTCCTTTCTTGCTGATAAAAAAAACAACACATAGTATATTATTGTTGACCTGCCCTGCCTTAACAGTCAGAAGGCCAGAGCAAGCAGGTGGAATAAAGATTGTTTTTGTCAAGTTAATGCTTCGATCGTCTTATTTTTCTGTCATCACTTCTTTGATTCATGTGAGTTGTTGTGTGAGGAGACCAGTGACTGACAGGTGAAGACGTGACTTAATGAAGGAGAGGAGAGTGCACGGAGAGGGATGAATATCTGAGTAGATGCCATAACAGAAACTTCTAATTGATTTCCTATCCCAGCCTCTATTTCATTTACTGAATTAATGCATACTTTTCAGACAGTGAGTCTCTCACATCCTCATGATGAGTCATTATCTCATTGTGAGGACAAACTTTATTATACAACAATGATTTTGCAGATTTTAAAAGCTCAGCCGCTCAGCTAAACGATGCACATTTGAATATTTTACTGCATTGTTCGTCACTAGAAATGGTTCCAGCTATTTACCCCCACATTATGTAGGCTGTGATTTAATGAAGCGTTCTGCGCCTCTCTTCTTCCAACAGATGTGATCCACACCGTGGGCCCGGTGGCCAGAGGTCATGTAGGTCCTACAGTGAAGAACGATCTTACCTCCTGCTACCAAAACTCACTGAGTCTGATGAAGGAGCACGAGCTGAAATCTGTGGTGAGTCTTTCACCACATTAAGAGACCGCGTGTCTGAATTCTGAACAGTTTGAACGTGGTACTGAGAAAGTTTTATGCACAGAAAAGCAGCGTTTGAATAGTTTAGAAATTTGGAAGCGCCAGCATCAGAAGGATTTAGTATGTTTTATTTTAGATACAGTTCTGAAAAGCCTTAATCGTCTCTGTGCAAACAAAGGCAACAGAAAACACAACAGAACGGTAATGCATTGTCAAATGGAAACCTTTCATGTCGACTACTTTGGCAGGGTATTTGGCATACGTTCAAATAAATCATAAGCCTTTGTATAAACCAATCTTTATAGTGACGTTGAATGGCAACGATGCGTTTCTTTTTCAATGGGAAACAACTGTTAAGATAGAAAGGCGTGCCCTTTACCAAAAATGTCAAATGCCCTACATAGCTTTGGTAATTTTAACAAATACTTAATTAAAATTGTTCATTTATATTGTATTTATCTTTATTAAACATGTAAATATAAATTCCTTTTTATAACATTTTAAAACACAAGATTCATTGAAAGCCTCTCGGTCATACGAGGCTCTGGATGAGACATTGACCCGCTGAATATAAATTAATCAGTTTAACGCCAAGTATTCAGAAATCCCTTATTGCGTGTCAACCTACGGCCCTGCAGCCTCATCAGAGGCCAATCAGTCCAAGTACTTACCTACAGAGAGACATGGATAACTGAGTTTCATCAAAGATGATTGTGACGAACCCCTGCTCAGCTGATGACTTATTGTGAGAGCAACAGACTCCTCGAGAGAGAACCCTCTCGGCAGCAATTAAATGAACTGTGGAGCCAAATGTCTGAAGTGGTCCTGGTATTTAGAAGCTATGTCAAAATCAGGAGCTTGTCTACTGATCATGAAACTTCCCTGACGTCAGTTACAGCTCCGAGAGCGTGACGAGCAACAATCATTAAAAAATAAACAACGTGGTGCGTTACCCGGTTATGTGCTTGGATTCACAGGCAAGGGCAACGCCTACTCCGAGGTCATGTCTACATGCATTTTCTGAACATGCATAGATATTTTTTTGGTTTATGGAAACATCAATTTAGGAACCCCCTAAATTATATATTTTATAACTGTGTTCCAAAAAGAAAACTTTTTTTTAAAATTTTTTATGTCACTATTGACACTTTATGGAAAACCTACTGTAGATATCAGTTGCTCAACTAGAGCAAAACTGTAGCTACTGAATTACTGTACTTTCTGGTCTATAAGCTGCTACTTTTTTCACACACTTTGAACCCTGCGGCTTATTATTATTATTATTTATTTTTTTTATTTTAGTTTTTTGACGGGCTAACAAGCTTCCTGCCGCCAAAAAAAATGTTTAGCCTTGTCACACCCGAGCGCTCACATAACTGCCCAGTACACGCCTCTCTTGTGGGATGGATACTCGTGACTCAATGAGAGTATCTGTATAAATAAAGGTAAAACAAAATTGACCAATGAAATTACCAAACAGGTCTCACAGTTGAAATAATGAAATTGGGAGAGGAGGAGACCCCCTGGGGGGATTCCCCTGCATGGGCAGAGTATGTGAGTCTCACATGTTCACAGAGCAACTTTTGCTCTGCAGAGCAGGAAGACATCTTGTGCAGGAAGAAGTTATCAATCCATGACTTCCTGGTAGACTAATATATTGCTTTGTTTTTTTATTTTAAACCAGCTATGTTACCGGCACTGTTCAGAAAAATGAGGACCTGTGGGGTTCACTCTGTCCGTGTGTGTTGAACAGTAAAATAAAACCTATAAAACATTATCTGCTGGGTGATTCTTGATCTACAAGAGCTGTACCTCTCTCACAGTAGCTGTGCTGCCACTCAGGTTACAACATGAACCCCCGTGGCTTATTCTCAAGCACAGCTTCTGTATGTACAATTTATTTTCCTAAATTTAGTGTGTGTGACTTATTGTCTGGAAATTACAGTACTTCAAAGAACTGGCCAGGCTGATGGTGCCATGTTTACGAGTATAAGGACTGTTTTGAAAAAGCAGTGTTCTCATGTGGACAGGGCCTAAATACAGGGCTTTTTTATTATATTAACCCTAAACCAGGTTATTTGCTTTTATTCCTTATCTTGTTTCTAGCACCTTGAAAGTGTCCCATTGCTTTAATTGTCCAACAGTCTGTTTATTTTACTGCGTATTTTTATTTTTAGTCTGGATTTTTGTCTAATGTATTTATACAGCTACTTTCTGCTGAGCTGTGAAAACAGTGAAGGCGTGTTATTAGACTGGTCTTGTATGATGAGCCCATTCATTAAGCCATCTTAGACACAGTTATGATTGCTTTTTGTTGCTGCAAGGATAGTTGAAGTTTTGCCAAAACGTGCCGCGCTATCCAGAAGACATTTAGAAGAGGTTTCAAGAGTCCTTGGTAAATCTTACTTGCAGGCCCTCCTTGCAGAGCACAGTAAGACAAATCTTTGTTCAGCTGATCAGCACAATTTGACTAATCCAAAAGGGTCTCGGTTTGAGCTTTGCTGTGTGATAGAAAGAAGCAGTACCCCTGAAGTCAGGCGCACCGCCAACTTTGTCTTCAAAGTGGGCAGAAAAGTCGGGGCTGCAACGGGGAATCATTTATGTCTGCCTCCCTAATGGGGATTGAAGGGATTAAAAGAGAAATAAGAGTTGAAACAAAGCCAAACACAAAGTAAACTCAAGCATGAAAGATAAAAAAAAAAGAAGTGTTTGGAAGTTAATCCCTGATTCCTGGAGCTCAAAGCCACCCTTCAGGCAACAAAACATTATAGCTGCCGATATCAGAATCTTTTTTCTTTATGTCGCATATCAAAAGAGTTTACAGACTGAATTCTTTGAATGAATTTTTTTATTTTATTTTTTTATTTGTTTAAAACTTTGGCTGCATGCTTGTTAGAGTGAGCTTTTATTTTTATCCCCAGAGGTCAGAAGTTGGAGAGAATGACTCTTTTCTGTCTCGTGATATTGAACCGATTTCTTATGGGACTGAAGTGGAGAATTTAATTTTAGACAACCTCGGGCATTTCCTGCTGGAGGTTTGCGGTTATTTAAGAGTGTTTAGACTTTTTTTTTTTTTTTTTTGAGAGTCAGTAGGATAGATTTACAAAGTATTTTAAAGGGTCAAGCTGAACATCAGTTAATTAAATATTACAACCTTTGCTGTGTAGAAACTTGTTTAATGACAGCTTGTTATGGCAGCATTCAGTTTCAAAGGTCTTGACAATATTACCTTTATTTATTTATTGAAAACTTTGTCCAGTATTTTTTTAAGAGCAATTTTAGAGCAATAGAGCAACATTGTCATTCACACATTTTTTTAAATTTTGCCATGGTTACTGTTATCTAATATGTAGGTAAAGCATTCTGAAATAAATCTCCATATACTTGCAGTTTTCAATAACATTGTGTATAGTGATATTTTCTGTGTTTAACCAAAACAGCTACAACTCTACAATTTCTCAACATATATATGACGTTCATAGTTGTCTCTCGTCACAGAGCGAAAAGGGAGAATTGGAAATATCCTCAATTTTTCTGTCCATTTGTGTTAAGAGCACGATAACTTGGAAATAAAGAGGTATAGACTTTCATTTTGATGTGTGGTTACATCTAGCTGTAAGAAAGGTTCCTTTTGAAAATGGGGTTGCCACTTAAAATGTAAAGTAAAGTAACATAAAGTGCTATGCGTTGTCATGTATGTTCCCATATAATGGCAAAATTAGTTTCTGCATTAAACCCATAACACCTGAGATACACCCAAGTGGAGCAGTGGGCGTCTATGTAGGCGCCTGAGGAGCAATTAGGGATTGGGTGTCTTGTTCAGGGACACCACAACATGTGAGTATGGTGGGGAGTTGATCCTGTGACTTTCTGGTCCCAAGTCGACTGGCCTACCGCTGCACCACAGTGGCCCCCTTATATACCATATATATGTTAATTGGCCACCCTGGTTTTGACTAAACGATGCTTTCTGTTTTTAAATTGCTTAAAAGTATAGGTTCTTCAAATGAATAGGGCGGCTGTTGTCGTGGCTGAAAATTAATCTATGGTAGGCAAGGCTACCATTGGCCACCCTCTGGCTCCACCACTGCACCTGGTGGTGTACAAAATTGCTCCCTTCACTCACCAGGATCCGTCACACTGTGCCACTTCGAACAAAACAAACAAAAAAACTGTTCTACACAGTGTAACTTTTATCCATTTGAATATATAAACCCACAAAAATCACAGTTTACTTGCATTCCCTGTTCAGTTCCAGTCCAGATGATAATCTTGAAAACTACAAACATTCACTATTCAAATATAACTATCCTGTATGTTGTCCTATAATCCAGTTAGTCCTAAGCCTGTCTCCACCGTGAGTAACATAATTTCTCATTCACGAACTTCAGCAACGATAAGGAACTTTACTAAAGAGGCCTGCATCTTGTTTTAGGATTTGGTTCCTGTACATGTCACTTTAACATTAACTTCATGGCACCAGTTAAAAACAAAAATAACAAAATCTTATTTAGATCAAATATCTAAATGATTCCACAGATTGGAGCATATTTAAGACTTAGCTTTTCGTGGTGGAAAGTATATCACCCGCTGCAGTTCATATCATAGTTTTAGAGTAATGACTGAGTTATTGGTCAGAATTTATTGTGTTATAGAATATAGAATAACTCAGTTAATACCACAAGAATATATTAACTCAATATTTTTAAATTGCCTAAATTGATAGCCATTGATAGTTGTGGTCATCTTGAGTTGGCTTCACTCCAAATTAGTCAGCTGGACATCCTCAAAGTTTTATTAAAATATGTCTTATGGTTTATGAGATATTTTACTAACACATGGTTGATGGTTGATTCAATATGTTTGATGACAAGGTTTTAAATAAAAATAATTTACAGTCTGTTAGCACTTAGAATACATGTTCTGGATAAGTTTCAGCTAATGCCACATTATAATTTAGGTCAATATCAATAAAATTGACA